CATAGACATCACCAGACACTGGGTTTCATCCCTGGTGATGCTCTGCCAGGCCTCTACTGCAACTGTCTTCAGTTCCTGCTTGTTCTTGGGGCATTTTCACTTCAGTTTTGTCTTCAGCAAGTGAAATGCATGCTCAATCGGATTCAGGTCAGGTGATTGACTTGGCCATTGCATAACATTCCACTTCTTTCCCTTAAACTCTTTGGTTGCTTTTTCAGTATGCTTTGGGTCATTGTCCATATGCACTGTGAAGCGGCGTCCAATGAGTTCTGAAGCATTTGGCTGAATATGAGCAGATAATATTGCCCGAAACACTTCAGAATTCATCCTGCTGCTTTTGTCAGCAGTCACATCATCAATAAATACAAGAGAACCAGTTCCATTGGCAGCCATACATGCCCACGCCATGACACTACCACCACCATGCTTCACTGATGAGGTGGTATGCTTAGGATCATGAACAGTTCCTTTCCTTCTCCATACTCTTCTCTTCCCATCACTCTGGTACAAGTTGATCTTGGTCTCATCTGTCCATAGGATGTTGTTCCAGAACTGTGAAGGCTTTTTTAGATGTCATTTGGCAAACTCTAATCTAGCCTTCCTGTTTTTGAGGCTCACCAATGGTTTACATCTTGTGGTGAACCCTCTGTATTCACTCTGGTGAAGTCTTCTCTTGATTGTTGACTTTGACACACATACACCTACCTCCTGGAGAGTGTTCTTGATCTGGCCAACTGTTGTGAAGGGTGTTTTCTTCACCAGGGAAAGAATTCTTTGGTCATCCACCACAGTTGTTTTCCGTGGTCTTCCGGGTCTTTTGGTGTTGCTGAGCTCACCGGTGCGTTCCTTCTTTTTAAGAATGTTCCAAACAGTTGTTTTGGCCACGCCTAATGTTTTTGCTATCTCTCTGATGGGTTTGTTTTGTTTTTTCAGCCTAATGATGGCTTGCTTCACTGATAGTGACAGCTCTTTGGATCTCATCTTAAGAGATGACAGCAACAGATTCCAAATGCAAATAGCACACTTGAAATGAACTCTGGACCTTTTATCTGCTCATTGTAATTGGGATAATGAGGGAATAACACACACCTGGCCATGGACCAGCTGAGAAGCCAATTGTCCCATTACTTTTGGTCCCTTAACAAGTGGGAGGCACATATGCAACCTGTTGTAATTCCTATACCGTTCACCTGATTTGGATGTAAATACCCTCAAATTAAAGCTGACAGTCTGCAGTTAAAGCACATCTTGTTCGTTTCATTTCAAATCCATTGTGGTGGTGTATAGAGCCCAAAATGTTAGAATTGTGTCGATGTCCCAATATTTATGGACCTGACTGTATCTGAGCACCATGTTGGATATGCTTGACAGCTTTTTCTGCTGAATTTTCTAGAAGAGTTGTTTTTTTAAGCTAATACTTCTATTTCCTCAACCCTTCCCATTGGCATGGGCTTGGGATTAGCATGCAGAATGTGATAGCACATGTGCATAGCCAATTATATACAGTACATACTAGCGCTAATTTGGACAGGAGACAATCCATCAAGAGTGGTATGTTCAGATTAGGATTCGAACCAAAGTGTGCAAACCCCCCAGGAAACTGTCACCTGTACCAATAAAGTTTTGGTTGAGGCATTCCCTACCCTGCAGACACACATTTACATGACTCTTGTACAAGTACAGCTGTGGGTGGGGAATGCCCTTGTTGTGGACAATTGGCCCATACAGCTGACAGCTTTCTGGTGGGCTTGCACATGTGGGTTCATTTCCTAGTCTGTTCATTACTAATCAAGAACACTTTAGGCTTTTGAAATCTGCTAAAGTGACCCAAGATCTGAAAAGGTACCTTCAGAAGTTTGTAAGTACTTTCAGAGTGTCCTTGGAGCCATAAAAAAACAGGTATTCTATTATTCAAGTCTCAATACCTCAGGCTTCAAAGCTCAGGCCTACCCACTGTGTGCCACAGAGGTTTCTAGGCATGTTTTTTTTACTAGGTAAATTGGCAGGTTTTTCCGCAACGCCCTCTATTTGCACAGGCTTGGAACCAGCATGCGATAATACACATGCATAGTCACCAAGCAACTGTATTGCCACTCCCCCTCTAGTGCCCAACTAGTTGTAATTTAAAACCGTCCATCATAGTCATCGGCCAATAGATAGTCACAAGAAATAGGGTTCGGGCCTTTATTCCACATTAAGGGGACAAAGCCACTATTAGCAGAACAGAATGTCCAGCGTTTTGGTACTCCTGGGCCACTGATGTATCTGCATTTTAGTTTCACATTCACTGGAACTGTACACAGGACACCTCTGAAATTCTCATAGGAACAACAGGTATTTTCTTGTGTTCATCAAACATAACGCTCAGTGATATTTTTTGCAGACCCACAGCAAATTCTCCTAACTCTTCTTATTACTACTTAACACGTCATAAAGTAAATGAGAAATTCACCTTCCCTGCCATTGAAGTAGATACACCCTTACCATAATCCTATCTTGGTTTGGGCAACATTATAAAATGCAGACTGGGTGGAGATAAAATGAAATGTACACTTAGAAGTGTAAGCTTGTAACCAGGACAGAAATAGTATGGGGCAAGTGATTTTATATTCACTCTATAAAAGATGTGAGGTCAGTGCACAGTAAATGTAAAGTTTTACGATCTGTAAGAAGTCTTTCACCTACTAAACAGAAAGCAATTTCATGTAGACCAACCAACCAAGAAGAAAAGACATTAAGAGTCAGTCAATGTAGCACATCAGCACTACCTTATAACATTTTTTAAAAGAAAAAAAATTTACAGCATGCATGCTCTCGCTCGCTTACGCTCTCTCAACACTTTGAATCTTAGCAGAATACAGATTATCTATAGGTAGCAAAGTCTAAAAGAAACTACAGTCTGGTTATTAAAAATGAACGCAGAAAGGATTAAAATTAAAAAAAAACCAAAAAAAAAAAAAAAAAACCCATTATAGGTGTCAAATAAAAACACAAAATGCAAAAATTGTGTAATAAGGTATCTTCAAGGATTTTAGTGAATTTTATTTAAGCGGAACTAAAGCGGCCATAGGCAGTGTGATTTTCTTTCCTGGAAAAAAAATAAATAAATAATATCGTCCGATTCCCGCATCCCAACCATGGAGCTGATGTATTCTGCAAGCTGGGAGGGGGGCGGCAGAGCTGTCCCTACTCAGAGAACACAGTGATTATTGCTAGCAGATATAGCCGCTGGCAGTGCTTGCATGACAAATCCAACATGCTGGTGGTACCCAAGCCGTACAACAAACGAAATGGGTAAAATCAGCCTGCCCATAGATGGTTCGAATCTCGGCCAGTCCCTGCTGGACCACCTATGGCTGACTTAAGTCGTCCTATTTTTTTTTTTTTTACAGCCAATTAAAAAAACTTTAGTTCCGCTTTATTAATTGAAGCATACATGCTTATCTTTTCACTATAATTAAGTGCCCAATTATACTTGCACACGCTGATTATCATTTTTCCTTTTTTAAAGTGGTTGTAAACCTCAGCCATGAAATAGGAACAAAGCATATCCCTCTATAGTGTGTACTTGTCTCAAGCCAGAGCATTAAAAAGAGAAGGAAAAAAAACAAAAAAAAACAAAAACACATTTATATTCACCTTGGTGGATGCAGCATCCATTTAATGCTACATCTGTCCCAAGCTGGCTCTGCAGTGAGAACGGTCAGTCTCCTGCTCTCTGCTCCTCCAGTGCTCACTGGAGTGCTGAGCTGTGGAGGGAATGGGAGGGGCTGGCTTAGGCTCTTGATGGCTCACTGAAGCTGAGCCAGGTGTCGGTCCAGGCTTCTTGATGAATCCCAACCATATGGTTGGGATCTTTTCAGAGTTTGGACCAGCTGAATGATGGACTTTAGCACACTATTGACTGAAAATGGGTCACAGGAGTGCAGAACAAACTGCACTCTTGTAACCTACAGGAGAAGCATAGCCCAAAAAGATTAGGCTGTACTTCTCCTTTAAGTGTAATTTCTGTCTCCTGCTTCTTTCCTCTGCTATCTCCATGAGCCACTTCTGACAAGTTTTCCTGACATGAGGAAGGAAAAAAAAAAAAAAAAAAAAAAAAAAAAAAAAAAAAAAAAAGGATCTCCAGCACACAGCCTGTGACTGACAGCCTCAGCTCCCGTGAGCCATGTGAAGGGAGGTGTGTGTCTGAGCTCTGCAGAGTGTAATTTCAGCTCTCCTGTTTTCTGACAGCTCAGACAAGCTTTATAAATTCTGCACTTTGCGAGGCTGTAGAGAAGACCGCAGATAAACAAGTACAATTTGTGAAGGAGGATTTGTTCTCTGTCTATTACCTGAGGCCAGTCACTTCACTGGGTATATGTAAGGGTTTACAACCAAGCTTGTGTTCAGCGTGCCAATTAGCCTTAAATGCCAGGCTATGCATATATGTTCTTTACTACATGCACTGTGGTACTCTGCGGTGTATTTGTCTGCTCCACGTACATGCATTGGGGTGCCATTGTGAATGAACACACACAACACAAAGCCCATACACGCATTGTTGTAGCACATGATAAAAGGCATTAACACATGCAAAAACATAAATGAAGCATTAGGGCCCTTTCAGACTGATCAATTATTGTTGCACTTTTTTGTTTAAAAAGGGAAAAAAAAAAAAAAAAAAAAAAAAAAACGCATGAAAAGTGTATTGCTTTAAATCCTAGGGAACTCTTCACACCAATGCGCTGCAATGCATTTTTAAAAGTCCTGCATGGTGCATGTTTAAAAAGTTCGCCAAAAATGAACCTACCCATTGAAATGAATAGAAAATGCATCAAAAACATACCCGCAGCGTGCTTGAGTCACATGTCCAAGTTTCACAGATGCATGCTGGGAGATACGAATACAGAAAACACACCAAAAAAAAAAAACCCATACCACATTTTTATGTGCACAAATGTGAAAGGACCCAAAATTATTAAAAAGGATGATTTTGCAAAAATGATTGTAGTACACACCTGGGCAGGTATAATGTAATCAGCAACATCCCAAATCCTCAGTCCCAGTTCAGATGTGTTTGTCACTGCAACGCCTTTCACTTTGGAATTCACAGAGCTAACCACTGTCTCAAAGTCCTGGTAGCCTTTCTCCCAGACAAAAACCCACCTATAAAAAAAAAAAAAAAAAAAAAGAGAGAGAACACATATGATGTATGATGTATGATGTAGTCCATCAGTCTGATTTTTCTTTGCCCCCCCCCCCCCCCATATTTTTTTTTTCTTTTATACAGTGCTGCGAAAAAGTATTTGCCTCCTTCATGATTTTTTTTCTTTTGCACATTTGTCACGCTTAAATGATTCAAATCAAACAAAAATTTGAATATTACACAAACATAACCCAAGTACTGTAAACACAAAATGCAGTATTTATTAAATTGCCTCCTCCCCTACTAAATCATGAATGAACTGTGATTAACCACATTTTTTGGAATGCTAAGTTAGGCTCCTTGCACAATAGCATTTTTTTTTTAGCTCCTAGAAGCTATTAGCATATTTTTTTTCTGATCGTGGAAGCTAAAAAAAAAAAAAAAAAAAAAAAAAAAAGGTTTACAGCAGAAATGCTAGATGCGCAAAAACACTGCTAAACACTACTAAAAGCTTTTTTCCCCCTCTACATGTACACTAATGCTCCTAAATGCTTCTGAATACTACAAAAAAAAAAAAATGCTATTACCAGTGGTTTTTGAGCTTAAAAAACCCCTAATGTGCATGGAGCCTTAAGCTGGCCATACATTATACAAAATTTCTTGTACATTTTTCCTTTAGATTTTCCAAAACCATATAATATAAGGTGAAACCTAAATACTTAATTTGTATGCAATCATTCAGGCCCTTGCACTACAAAGTTGAAGGTAAACCTAAAGGAAACTGAAAAAGAATATTGTACAATGTATAGTCAGCTTTAAATTTCACTTACCACACCCAGGCCAGACCTGTTGAATCAAGAAATCACCTAAACAGACGTTGTCTGACAAAGTGAGAAAAATAAATAAAAAAAAAAAAAAAAAATTAAGTTTGTATTTACTTGGGTTATCTTTGCATAAATATTAAAATTTGTTTGATGATCTGAATCATTTACATGTGGCAAATATGCAAAAATCAAAAAAAAAACAAAAAATAAAAATAAAATTTACACAGGAAGGGGGCTTTACTTTTTATTGTTCAACTTCCTTCAATCAATGGTGGCCATGCACACTTTGATAAATCAGGAAGGAAGGAAGGAAGGAAGGAGAATGCAGCCACCACATCTAAGGATCGGTAATCAGCAATATATTGTTGTTGTTTTTTTACCTATTGTGCTTTCTATTGCAATCTGTTGTATACCTGCAATTGGCAATCTGATAAAAAAAAATTGCTAATATCCAATCGATTGCCATGTGTTTCACTCTTCACATAATGGTTCTTATATGAAAGAATGTGCAACAGAGGTCTCTCCTAAAGCAGTAGTAAAGTCAATATGGAAAAAGAAAAAAAAAAAAAAAAAAAAATGCAGTCTCCCTGCAGGTCAACACCATAGTGCACTAGTATACACCACAAATTAACTTCATGGCAGCCTTACCTTTCAAACAAAGCGCTCCAGCGGCGTGCTGTCAATGCTGCCAGCACTTCTATCTTCACCCACTCTTCCTTCCAGGCATGCGCTCCCCGGTCATTTAAATGACCAAGCCAATATGACTTCACTGCTGCACATGTGCACAGGAGTCACTGGGATATTGATTTGGTCAGATAAGTAGCAGAGGGGGTTGTTAATCAGTTTCAGCTGCTTTGGTGTTAATGAAATTAACAACAGGTGCACTAGATGGGCAACACTGAGACAACCCCCAAAACAGGAATGGTTTAACAGGTGGAGGTCACGGACATTTTTTCCCCACTCATCTTTTCTGACTGCTTTTCACTAGTTTTGCATTTGGCTAGGGTCAGTGTCACTTCTGGTAGCATGAGGCAATACCTAGACCCTACAGAGGTTGCACAGGCAGTCCAACTCCTCCAGGATGGCACATCAATACGTGCCATTGCCAGAAGGTTTGCTGTGTCCCCCAGCACAGTCTCAAGAGCATGGAGGAGATTCCAGGAGACAGGCAGTTACTCTAGGAGAGCTGGACAGGGCTATAGAAGGTCCTTAACCCATCAGCAGGACCGGTATCTGCTCCTTTGTGTAAGGAGGAACAGGATGAGCACTGCCAGAGCCCTACAAAATGACCTCCAGCAGGCCACTGGTGTGAATGTCTCTGACCAATCAGAAACAGACTTCATGAGGGTCTCCTGAGGGCCCGACAACCTCTAGTGGGCCCTGTGCTCACTGCCTGACACCATAGAGCTAGACTGGCATTTGCCATTGAACACCAGAATTGTCAGGTCCGCCACTGGCGCCCTGTGCTTTTCACAGATGAGAGCAGGTTCACCCTGAGCACATGTGACAGATGTGAAAGGGTCTGGAGAAGCCGTGGAGAATGTTATGCTGCCTGTAACATCGTTCAGCATGACCGTTTTGGTGGTGGGTCAGTGATGGTCTGGGGAGGCATATCCATGGAGGGATGCACAAACCTCTACAGGATAAACAATGGCACCCTGACTGCCATTAGGAATAGGGATGAAATCCTTGGATCCATTGTCAGACCCTACACTAGTGCAGTGGGTCCTGGGTTCCTCCTGGTGCACGACAATGCCCGGCCTCATGTGGTGAGAGTATGCAGGCAGTTCCTGGAGGATGAAGGAATTGACACCACTGAATGGTCCCCACGCTTGCCTGACCTAAATCCAATAGAACACCTCTGGGATATCATGTTTCGGTCCATCCGAAGCTGCCAGGTTGCACCTCAGACTGTCCAGGAGCTCAGTGATGCGCTGGTCCAGATCTGGGAGGAAACACCCCAGGACACCATCCATCGTCTCATTAGGAGCATGCCCCCGATATTGTCAGTCTGCATACAAGCCCGTGGGGGCCATACAACCTACTCAGTACCATTTTGAGTTGCTGCAATTAAATTTCAGCAAAATGGACTAGCCCGCTACATCATTTTTTCACTTTGATTTTTGGTGTGTCTTTGAATTCAGTCCTCTGTAGGTTGATCATTTTCAAACGATGGGGCATCCTTACATTCCAAACACATTACCCAGTCCATATTAGTATAGATATCCAGCATGAGATCTGATTTCAAAGTGTTCTTTGCTTGAGGTGATTGTAGCCGTATTAGTGCATTTGTGACAGAAACAATTGAGTACTGTCCGTGATACTTTTTTTATTTGCACTAACATACAATTTTGAGGACAAGCTTTCGGGGAATGTCCCCTTCTTCAAGGTCCAAGCAGTACTATTACAAATCACAAAGTGATCAAAGTGTTCTTTTAATTTTTTTAAGCAGTGTACACACACTTGGAGCTCTGCACTATTCATTGCTTGATTTTACACACACACAATTTTTATTTCTTGGTGTGTGAATGACATTTATTGCGGCTGGCTCCTGCGATAAAAGGCAGGGTGTGCGATAACTGCACGTACCTGCTCGGTTCCTTTTTCGTTTCTTCTCTTTTTAGCTAGGTTCATTCTCCAGCTTCTTCAAGTATTATGACACATGCATTGTACATGCGTTTTTCAGGCAGTTTCAGCTGAACTGAGCACACCCAATAACAGGTAGATGCACGGTGTGAATTTTATCATTTCGAAATATTACATGCGTTCATGGTATCTGATCTGCCCCTGAATTCTGTTTTTTCTAAAAGGCAGCTTTACTGAATGCACCTAAACACAAGTAAAATGCACATTGTGAATTTTACTATTAAGAGCCCATTCACACTTGTGCGACTTGTCATGCGAGGTCCAAAGTCACATGACAAGTCGCACCCCATGCTCCCCAATGAATACCATTCATATCTGTGCCACTTCAAGTCGCAGCTACTTGAAAACAGTTCCTGCTCTACTTTGGTCCAACTTTCACACAACTTGAGGGCCATAGACTTCAATGTAAAAAGTCGCAGGAAGGTCGCACCTGCATGATATAAATGTGATTTGTGCGAGACTTTGTACAGCACACACAATCATCCTTGGTCAAAGCCAAAGTCACACAAGTGTGAATGAAGCCTTAAAATCATAGCATACATCTGAACACAAAGTACCTAATCTACCACTGGATGCACAGAACTCTTTACTCTAAAGGTGTGTGGGAACAGTGTGCTGAAAAAAAGTACTGCATGCAGTAATTTTTTTTGTGCAGAGTAGGGCAATCCACTGCCTCACACCACGCGGCCAGCATTTGAACTTGTCTGTGCGACATATCAATAAATTGTTAAAAAAAAAAAAAAAAAAAGTGATGCGCCAATCTCAGCACATCACTGAGCTGATCTTGGCCCCCATCGCATACCAGTTGCTGTGTTGAAAAGTAGCAACTAGTGCGAATGAGCCCCGAATGCACCTGAACCCAAGTAAATGCACAGTGTGAAGGATATTATTCATCATCATTCCATCTACAGGATATGTTCAGATGTGTTCCTATGAATACTTGTACGTTATTGCCACTAAGAATGAAGCCCTACCTACAAGGCTGGTATATTGATCTGAAGGCTTCAGTACTTGACTAAGTATGCAGATTAGGCGTAGACATGAGCTTGGAGGGTCCTCCATACTCCAAAAAAGAACACACAGGGGGTACAAACACCTAGTGCATTAGCCAAGATTTATTGAGAGAATCAAACAAAGTCAATTTCATACAAAAAAGGACAAAAGTGAAATGCATGAACAAACAAAAAAAAACAAAAACACTACTGATGGTTAACCAATGTAGTAGCAGGTTCCAAACTGACGGTGGGGCAGGCAAACCGACGGTGGGGCAGGCAAACCGACGGTGGGGCAGGCAAACCGACGGTGGGGCAGGCAAACCGACGGTGGGGCAGGCAAACCGACGGTGGGGCAGGCAAACCGACGGTGGGGCAGGCAAACCGACGGTGGGGCAGGCAAACCGACGGTGGGGCAGGCAAACCGACGGTGGGGCAGGCAAACCGACGCGTTTTGGGGATGTGGCCCCTTCTTCATAGCTTTAAAGAAGGGGACAAGTCCCTGAAACGCGTCAGATTGCCGACACCATCAACAGTCGGGAAGCTGCTACCATGTTGATTGACAATCAGTTTTTTTTTTATGCATATCATTTCTGTCCTTTGTATGAAATTGGCTTTATTTGATTTTCTCCCAGTAAATGTTGGGTATTGCATTAGGTGTTTGCACCCCCTGTGTGTTCTTTTTTTCAGTTTGTGGTTGGATTCCCCAGCCTGAGGAGGGCTGCACTGCCAGGCCACTGTCCCTGAGGAAACATTCACCTTGCAACATAATCCAATCTAGTGACTTTCTTTTTGAGCGTTGGAGAAATTGTTTGTGGACTTGTCCTCCATACTCCACTCTGGAAGGACTTGTGCTTTTTTTTTTTTTTTGTTATGCCAATGAGCTGCAGGATAGATCATTCCTACCCCGCAGGACACCTCTTTGTTTATGTGAGATGTGGAATAGGAATGAGCCAGCCCTCAGATCATAGAAGTTAAAGTGTTACTAAACCCAGGACCCTGCATTCACTATATCTGGTCTCCCACAGTACACAGAACATGGAAATGCAATTATTTTAGTAAATATAAACTGATAAATTCCTTTTCTCATCAGCAGTTAGAGCAGTCTTGTGACTTCAGCAGAGCACTGGTTAAAGCTTGTAGGAGGAGTTTTCTTTCTGCTCTAGGAGGATGCGAAACCCCTGACCTCTGTCTGGACAGTGCTGATTAGCTCTGTGCTGATCACATGCACCCTCCCAAGAAAAAAAAAACTAGCAATACACACTAAACTAAGCTTGTGCACCTTGCCCCCAAGGCTCTGTTCTATCAGCAGACTGAGCATGTGCAGAGTGACTCCACACCATATGTCTTATCAGGAGATAAGAGGGGGACACTGGAAGCAGGGGAGGATCAGAGAAGACAGGATCAAAACATCCTTTTTACACAGTGCGGAGGATTAACCCCTTAGATTCCACAGTGAGTATAACAAGCGTGCTTTACTTCATATACAGACTGTTGTGGGTTTAGTAACACTTAAAAAAACAAACAAAAAAAAGGTGCAAGTTTAGCTAGAGAATATGGAGAACGTCCGATCTCGTCTCTAATTAGGAGTTCTGATCTCAGCCCGACTCTGTAATCAGCACTCTTGTTCCAGATCAATGAAGTAATCAAAGTACTGAAAATGGGGACAGCCAGGCAACTAGCATTTTAGGGTGTCAGTATTGACAGTTCCCTTCTTACCTTTTAGTAGTTCACTTTAATATAGTACACATGAGATTTCTAGCAGCCATCAGATCTCAGAAATCTATGTCTACACTTATAGAAAAGTCAGAAAGAAAAGGAAACCCCCAACAGCAATCCGTGCCTAGAGGAGAGCAGGCAATAGGAGGAGTGCTGATCAGAGGGATAGTCATGATTGGGAAATGATACAAATGTCTACTTCCCACAGCCCCATCCTCTGCTCACTAAACACCATCTACATCCGCTCTCAGACCATGATCCATGGAACATATGGCGGAGTAGAGGAACGACACCTGTGCCAGGTAAGGTGTCGGCACCGACTCATCACACACCTACCTACCCGATGACATAAGCCAGGATCAGCAGCTGGATGACTCTGTTCAGCAGTCCGACCTTCCTGCTCTTAATGAGCGCTATACGAGGGGTGTTGTAGTCAAAGATACAGCTGTACACCTCCTGACAGCAGCCCCCCGCAGACATGACTGACCACGGTGCGGGAACACCGAGCGCCTGGACCTGTGAACTCCAAGCAGTCACGTGACTATTCCACAGGTCCGGGATATATCCCACTACAACGGGGAGGAGCTGGAGACAGAGCACACACGACACCTACTGCCCGCTCCTGGAACTACCTCTAGTCGTTCTCTCTGTTCTCTGTAACATAAGATCCGTCTTTTCTGAACTCATCAATGGGAAGACCTCTCCGCCGCCCGTCTAGTAGAGGAGCAATGTACTGACCGCATTCCTTCACGTTTTATTTTTTTTCCAAAGATTTGAATAGATCAATTAAGACCACTTACCCTCCAGAGGATTTTCCCCCTTCCTGACCAGGCCATTTTTTGTGTTATGGCCCTGCGTTACTTTAAGTGACAATTGCGTAGTCATGCAACGCTGCACCCAAATGAAATCTATGTCCTTTTTTTCCCCACGAATAGAGCTTTCTTTCTGTGGTATTTGATTGCCTGTGCAGTTTTTATTTTTTGCGCTAAAAAAAAGGCGACAATTTTGAGAAAAAAAAACAATATTTTTGACTTTTTGGCTTATTGCTCTAAAAAAGTCCTGGATTGTTTCTACACAGAATATAACTGGATACTAACATTTATAGGTAAAGTTGATCCAGGGAATATCCGATTGCCTCTCAGGGGATCAGGAAGGATTTTTTTCCCCTGCAGGAGCAAATTGGATCGTGCTTTGCTGTTTTTTTTGCCTTCCTTTGGATCAACTGTGGGTATAGAATTATAACTTTTCTTTTTTTTTGTAATAATTGAACTGGATGGACTTTTGTCTTTTTTCAGCCAGACTAACTATGTAACTATTAAACATATCCAGTAAAAAAATAAAAAAAATAAAAAAAGTCTATTAAAAAATAATCCCAATACATGTAAATTAATTGGTTTACGTGAAAGTTATAACGTTTACAAATGGCGGTATATTTACTGGAATTATTTTTTTAATTTTAATATTAATGGCGGTGATCAGCGACTTATAGCAGGCATTCTGACACTGGGGGGAACTGACTTGGTGTCACTGACATCCCCAGTGACACCAATACAGTGATCAGTGCTAATAAAAAGCACTGACACTGTACTAATGGCACTGGGCAAGAAGGGGTTAACATCTGGGGCAATCAAAGGGTTAACTTTGCGCTGTGTCACTACTTGGGCTGTGTGTGTGCTTCACTGTAAGCACACTGCTTTGTAGGGCTCTGCTATGCAGAGCCCTACAAAGCAGTGTGTAGGAGCTGACAGGGGAGAGATCTGTGTTGTTTATACACAGGTCTCTCCCGCATTGGAGATACTTGGCGATCACCATGTGCTGGTGAGTAATCACTGGCCAGGACCCGGTAATTAACAGCTGAGGCCCCAAATAGCAGCACAGGTAGGGCACTCGCATGTGCCCCCTACCCGGAAATGCAAAAACATATATATATATATATATATATATATATATATATATATATATATATACGTGATTTTGCGCACCCCTGCCATCCTGTAGCAGTATATCTGCTATAGTGCGGCAGGAAAGTGGTAAAGGAAAACGCATACAAAACCTATACAACCTACACAAATCTATCTTTCTACCCCTCACCTCACCCCTTCAGTCTCCTCTCGCATTACTAACCTACTAAGCGACATATCAGCATAGATGTCACTCCACTTCCTCAAACTCAATATTTCTAAAACTGAGCTTTTAGTATTCCCCCCAGCCCGTGCCCCCTCCCCTGACTTCTCCATCAAGATCAATAAAACAATCATCAGTCCCTCCCCTCATGCCAGGGTACTAGGTGTAATCCTAGACTCCCATCTGTCCTTTCAGCCCCAAATCCAATTGCTGTCCAAATCTTGTAGACTTCACCTCCGCAACATCTCCAAGATACGGCCGTTCTTAACCACTAAGCCACTTATTCACTCCCTTGTTATACCTCGCCTCGACTATTGTAACTCCCTCCTCATTGGCCTACCTCATCGCAGGCTATCCCCTCTTCAGTCTATCATGAATGCTGCTGCCAGACTCATCCACCTTACTAACCGTTCTGTATCTGCCATTCCTCTCTGCCAATCCCTCCACTGGCTTCCCATTGCCCAACGGATAAAATTCAAAACATTAATAATAACATATAAAGCCATTTATAACTCTGCCCCAAATTACATCACCGATCTTGTCTCCAAATATCACCCAAACCGTACTCTCCGCTCCTCGCAAGACCTCCTACTCTCTAGCTCCCTTGTCTCCTCCTCCCATGCTCATTTCCAGGACTTCTTCAGAGCTTCTCCCATCCTCTGGAACTCTCTACCCCAATTTATCAGACTATCACCTACTCTGCTCACTTTTAGACGATCTCTGAAAACCTATCTCTTCAGGGAAGTCTATCCTGCCCTCAGCTAATTGTGGAATCTTCTCTTCCTCTTACCAGTCCATCCCCCACAGTTACCTTTTGTACCACTAGCCCCTCCCTCTTAGATTGTAACCTCCTAACCCTCTTGTATTGAACTGTATTGTTGCTGTATTGTCTCTCGTTATATTGGAAAGCGCTGAGCAAACTGTTGGCGCTATATAAATCCTGTATAATAATAAATAAATATGTAATAACAATAATAATGTCACCTTGACTGATTACAACTGCAACCTGAACTTTGACCACTGTCTTCCCTCTTTATACAGTAAGGGCTGGTTCAGATGTGTGGCAATGCTTCCAGCTCCTCTGAAAAGCAATCGGTGATGGTGATATGTCGCCTCCTCACCGCCTGCTTTAATCCTCAAAATACCAGTCTATCACACTGAGAATGTGTTATTTTTCACATGGTTGCGGTGCGGCCTCATTCACTTGAATGGGTTGTGTTTGCAGCAGTACCACCTCTTGAATGCACAATGCCATTTAATTTTTGCTGAAGCTACAGCATAGTGACAGCCCAGTGCAACTGTATTGCTGTATTTAGGTGGGTAACTAGGGCCAGCAGTAAAATCGCGGCTCAACCACCTGCCTATACCATCCATCGGCCCCCCATGTGAACAAGCCCTCCTGGTAACACAAAAAAGGTACTATGCAACAGGAGCCTCTGGCTGTATAATACTCCTTCCTTTTTGACAACTATACAGGTGGTGTGAGTACAGTTTTTATTAAATGACAATTGGTAAGCCACGTGGTTGGTGGCGTAACGCGTGGGGCGGAGCCTAGTGACGTCATTGCCGGCTTTTTACGGAGCGGGAGTTTTACATTTTAAATCGATCTGTTACTGCTTCTATCATGTGAGTGACACTCTGGGACAATTTTATGTGAAATTAAACAGTATTACACTATGGGAGATGTCCTCTGTTCTTTCTGTATGTGGAGTAAAGCTGAGGAGTCCCCTATGTCATTCAAGGGGTGCCTGTCATCAGCTCCCTGCTGCCATCTAGAGCATCTTTTTGGAATTACCATGCTTGGTTGACCTGTATTAATGTATAGGTCCACAGCATGAGGTGAGCGGCCATCTATATATTTTTAGGTGGAGGAACACTAAATCAAGGTGGAGCACTGTGTTTTTTTAAAAGACTTCATTTGTCCGGAGCACATTGTATTGATTTTTCACTAATCAAGCACTTTATTGATTTTTCACCATTCAAGCACTTTTTATATATTTTTTTTCTAATTTATATTTCATATTTTGATTGAACTATCACATTTGAACTTTTTATGGACTACTATGTATATATGAGTTAGCGCAACACTATTTATATATGTTTTAATTGGTAACTTACTATTAGCTATAAGAACAAAGCATGTCTCCATGATTTAAAACACTACTCTCCATGGGTCCTCAAGGTGGATGGTCAGGATGCTACTGTGGCCACTAGCAGGATTAGATGCCTCTGTAGGATGAGTCAGGCAATGCCGACAACCAGGCTGGAATACTCAGGGCCACTGGACCACTGGACCGTAGGCAGAACATGAAGCAGAGTAGTGTGCTTATGCTTTTCAAAGCCCTGTGGCTTCTTCCTCAAACCATGTAGCGCCATGGAAAACATGCAAATGTATTCCCACTGTGGGCAGAGGAAGCAAGGGGGCTGGGGTGGTAGGCTGTGAGCAGACAATGAGAGATCAGTCATGTAGGGAGGCCATTAACCCTTAATGAACTGTCCCTGAGTGTTCCAGCCTGGTTGTCAGCATTGCCTGGCTCATCTAACAGCAGGAATCTGATCTTGCTGCTGCCCACGGCAGTATCCTGACCATCCACCTTGAGGACCCATGAAGAACAGTGTTTCAAACCATGGAGACATGCTTTGTTCTTACAGCTAAAAGTGAGCAGCCAATTGTCTTTTAATAAAAAGTGTATTCATACCACTGCACTTAGTCTGACACTCTCTGCTGTTCCATTGTATTTTCTCAGAGATCACTTCACTCTTATGAGGAGCAGCTACTGGTGTTGTGTGGAGCAGGATACAGACTTTATGGACTCATTTACATAAACTTTTTGGGGGTAACAAGGAATCTAAAGATTCATTTATAGCTTGCTAATTTTCTCTTCCTTTCCCCCTTTTCCTTGTTCACTGGTAGTTGAGTGGGAAGCTCCTGCCATTTGCTTGTTTTTACTTCTCTAAAAGACCCAGCTACTGTGGGGATCCCTTACCCAATTGCCCTTACTAAATTGCTGTCAGAGTACTCTAGTTCCAGTGGAGTGGCTCTTTGTCCTTGGATCCTTACACGTTTCTTACCAGAGCTACCCTGGACTTTATTGGGAGGGATGCTGTTCATGAGGATAATCACAAGTAGTAGTTGTGTTGTGAACATTTAGTGACAGGAAAACTCTTGACACGAACTTGAGGAAAACAAGCTTTTCATTTACCAGCTGGTTGACCTAGCCAGACTCGTGTCTACAAGCTAAGTGCCTTGAAAAGCATCTTACATGGTGTATATATCAACAATTACCTCACAATGCGTATATTTCCCCTTTATTTTTTGTACCTTTAAAATACATTCTGAG